CACCTTTCACAAAGTTAACTCAAAATAGATCATAGATATAAATGTAAATGCAAAATTATAAAACTTCATGAAGAAAATGAGAGGAAATCTATGTAACCTTGTGTTTGGTGATGAGTTTTGCGATACAACATTAAAAGCATGATCCATGAAAAAAAAATTGATAAATTATACTTTAATAAAATTAAAAACTTCTGGGCATCAAAGCACATAAAGAACAAAGTGAAATGGCAACCCAGAGTTAAAATGGTAAATTTTATGTTATACTTATTCTACCACAACTAAAAATAATTTTAAATTTAAAAACTTCTGTGAAAGACATTGTTACAAGAATAAAAAGATAAGCCATAGACTCAGAGAACATATCTGGTAAAGGATCCAAAATATACAGAGGATTCTTAAAACTCAACAATAAGAAAATCAACAACCAAATTTTTAAGAGAAAAAGAAATGGATAGACACCTCACCAAAGAAGATATACAGATGGCAAATAAGCATATGAAAAGATTCTCAATGGCCTGTCACTAAGATAAGGCAAATTAAAACAATGAGATTGCATTACATATTTTTAGAAGGGCTAAAATTCAAAATACTTGAAAGACCAATTACTGGCAAGGATGTGGAGCAACAGGAATTCTTATTCATTGCTTGTGGGAACACAAAACCCTATAGCTACTTTGGAAGACAATTTGAATGGTTCTCACAAAACTGACCAGAGTCTTATCACATCATCCTGCAATCCCTATCCTAGGGTATTTATGCAACAAACTTGTAAACTAAGTCTTCACATTAACTACAGAAATTCCAAACTGATTTACAGACAGAAGCCCTGCCTGGGCCATTGGCAGAAGGAATTATCCTCCACAATACAGAATCAAAGCCTTAATCTTGCACAGAGATAAAACCCAAATTCACAGCATCCATGAGACACAGATACACTGAATAAGAAACTAGTATATAGATTCCCAACTGATTGGCCCAATAGGGTCCTGTTAACAATGAAACTGCAACATGGGGACTTGCAAAATCCAAGAAATGTCCAGGCTTTTTAGAGATGAAACTCCCAATGGAGACAAGTTTAGGAAAAGCTATAAATGGATAATTCATTCTTCATACTAAGGAAATAGAGATCAAACAGATCAGAAAGAGATTTTAAAGTATGTTTAACATATTCATAGAGATCAAGGAGGCAAGAGAATCCATGAAGAATAAAGATCATTTTATGAGGATAAAAAACACACAGATGTATTTGATAAGGAACCAAATGGAGATTCTGGAAATAAAAATGTCAATGAAATTTTTAAAATTTTAATAGATAAGTTAAACAGCATGCCTACTAAGAGATCAAACCAAATCTGTTGAGAACTGAAAATGCCTGCTCTATTACTCCAGCAAAAACATATGGTGGAAGTGAGAGTAAAAATAAGTGGGGAAATTTAAGAAGGACTTTGAAAGTAGAATCAACAAGATTTGGTAATGAATACTCCAGCCTCCCAATATATTCCTTCCTGACTTAGAAGAGAGGCATTGTGGCTGCGGTTTGAGCTGATGCGGTAGCTGCTTCTTAGCCTGGCCTGTGGTAAGCACTCATTGATGCTGTTGTTCATTGTGTTGTTGTTTTCATTTTATTATTATTACCATTAAAGTTGATGGGAACAGCTGAAAGCTAAAGAAGGAGGTGGTGAACCTCCTACTTAGGAACATGGAGGCTGCCTTTTACTGCTTTCCCATTGTCCAAATATTTTACAGGAAAACTTGGTATTACAGGTCTTCTTATTCAGTCATATGGCATAAATAAATAAATAAATAAATAAATAAATAATAAATAAATAAATAAAAAGACTGACTGAAATATGAAATAAACCAGATAGCTCAAAAACGTATATCATTGTATGTAATCATGTACAACACAATTAAGAAAGCAACCCAAATCAGCACTGGGAAGATGGAATTATTAAATCAGTGATGCTGGCACAGCGGTGGCAAAGAGCAACAACACACTATTATCACTTCACCATGCTGACACAGTTTTAAAATTTAAAAAGCACTTCGAAAAAAGTTGTAACAAAATTAGAAAGATTCAGTTTCTAAAGTTTCTTTTAAAAATATGCAGAGGAGCCCCTGGTGGCTCAGTCAGTTAAGCATTTGACCCTTGCTTTCAGCTCAGATCATGACCCCAGGGTCTTGGGACTGAGATCCAAGGGGGGTTCCACACTGAGTATGGAGCCTGCCTGGGATTCTCTCTCCTTCCCTCTGCCCCTCTCCCTGGTGCTTATACTCTCTCTCTCTCTCTAATAAGTTTTTTAACTAAAAAAATTTTACATATGCGGAAGTGAGTTTTGTGGAAAAAATTTCTCATCAAAATAAGAAATAACTTTTATGGGAATATGCAATGCTCAACAACGTGCAGTAAAAATAAACACACTCTTGCATTGCTGGAGGAATGATAATACATATAGCTTTAAAACACTGTGAGCAAGCTTTAAGAGGCCTAAGAACATCTATGCTTTTTAGTGTAATAATTCAAATCCCAAGAATTCTCTCTAAGAAAACTGCAGAAATGAAGAAACATATGCATTGCAGTGTTATTTATAATAGCAAAAACACTGGACACAATCTAAGCAGTCAGTCAAAAGGTAGTGGTTATAATACATGGCATGGTTATTTTAGATTATTACATGGCCATAAAAATCTACTAATAAGCAATTTTTAATAACTAATGTGCTGAGTATTCTTTATTTGCTCCCCATTCTGCCAGATCCATTCTCTTCCATTCCCTTCCTTGATCTGTCTTCTGCAAAGCTGACTACAACAAACCGCATCATATAGATTCCTTGTCACTTCAGTTTCCATGGAGCTCCAGAAAAACAAAATGTCTTTCCTTTGCCCTTGGAACCCAATAGCTTCCTGTTGCTGCTAGCCTCTGATGCCCACCATCCCTTGTCCTTAATCCTAACCACACTTCTCTTATAGAGTCCCTTCATGAAAGTCTCTTCACCAAAACCTTCTGAGTAAGTTCCCTATCCAGACAGATGTATGTGAACTCTTAGGTCACAAAACTGTATAGTCTGCTGGATCTAATGTGAAAATACCTAGAAACACTTATAAATAAACACACAGATGTGGAGACAAGCTTCTTCTGAGAAGTATGAATAAGATACATTTCTTTCATCTGTTTAATACTTCCCAAATTTTTTACAATAAATAAATAATGTATAATTTGTCATTAAATGTAATTACTATTAAATTACACATAATTCTTTTATGATAGAGTAACAAATCTAAAAATTAGATGAGCATATTTTAACTATACCTCTTCTTTTTAAAAGTGAATTACATTGGCTTTTTTTGACCTTCAATAGATTTTTCAGGAGTTCACTGTTCTTCTATATAAGGATTCCAAGTCCTGTTGTGCATATAAAATAAATATTTTTGCCAGAAATGGTTCTTACTTTTCACTTTTGACTGAGGCCTTTTTATTCTTAAAAGGGGAAGATGTGATATCTAATTTTGTCTCTGTTTCTTTGGGGACAGGAATTTTAGCATATTGCCACTAAAGACATTTTCATCATATCTAACCAGGCTAGCTTCCCTCTACTCTTTACTTTCTTGGTGTTTAGAGAGTTCAATGAGTGTACTTCTGCCATCTTTGTTGGTGTTGCTATTGTTACTTGCTTTCTTGCTAGAAAGATGGGATGTTTTTTCTGACTGGAAGCATAAGAATAACTAGACATCCTCTACCCTCCTGCGTTCTCTTGAAGCCAGCCTCCTGCAGAGACCATTCGTCTTCCTTCATTCTTTCATGCTGGAAGTAGTGCAGGAGCCAGCTCTGGTAAGTGTGGTGAAATGAGATCTACCCCACGCCCAGTGTCTTCTGTACATGGATGAAGTCGCCCAAATCCTTGGATACAGGTGGCAGGCCCGTTTGGCTAATGGACCTAGAGCCACAATCTGCACCCTGGCCTCTAGCAGTGACAAAGGGGATATTTTGCTTGACATATTTACTCATTTGTTTCATTCCTCAAATCATTTAGTAACTACATGGGAAAGAGAGATGTTATTTGTTGGTGGCCTCCTCAGAAACTGCAAGACATACTTTTCTTTACAATCATAAATATATATGTATCACTCTTACTTAATAATAAAACTTTCTGGTTGGTTTGAGTTTTGCTATATGTCATTGTAACTTGGATGCCAAAGGGCCTCACATCATTCTTAAACAGCCCATCATAATTTCTTAAAGAATCTAGAAGGTCAAACAGCAAAAAATAAATAAATAAAGATAAAAAAGAGTGAAGATCGTTCGGGGAGCTGGTAACTCCCATACATTAAGAATAGGAATGCAGTTACTCAGCTGCATGTAGATGTTCCCTTTCCTCTTATCCTTTTAGCTCTGGAATCCCCCAAAAATGTTGGGAAAATAGGTAGTCTCTACTATTCTTTTTAAAACTTTATTTTTTGACACAACTCAGTAATACAAGACATCAGAATTAGGCAATCAGGCCACCCTAGAAAAACAACAACAGATATTTCTTCTAAATATCAAGATAGCAAATTAGAGGCATTATTGCCTTTTTAGTTCGCCATATCTTAAGCATTAGGCATTCAAATAATGTTGAAATTTTTTATTAGTAATTCTACTAATTACACTTGAATATATCTTCATTTAATGAGCCACTGTGTAACCTTATTTTCTTCCTAAATAAAATAATTTTAATGAAATAATTTTGTGGCAATTTAGATTTTATTGCTGCTATTATTAATGCTATGTTTTAATGTTACATTCATTATGTGATCTGTTAATAAAAATCTGGTAAAGGCAATCCATTTGTTTCAGAGTTCATGAAAAAACATATATTCTGTTGACAATTTGGCAGCAAGAGATCATTTAGTAAGGGACATACTTCACACCATATGATGAAGCATGATCTTTCTGCTTAAGTGGAATGGATGAGAGACTGTTCATTAATACTACAAAACTGTATTAAGTACTTACCACGTGTCAAGTACTGTGCTACTTACTGGGGACACATTGTCTCTGCTTTAATAAACCCTAAAAGAAAAATTATATAAATGATATACATTAATGGAGTGATCACACAAATGATTATATAATGATAAATAATGAAATATACAATAAATAAAAATGTATATTATGACCAGAGTTGTCAGGAAAATGTAGGAAAATTTGATAGACAGCCTAAATCAACTCTTTGCCCTAGAGTTAATAAAAGTTGTTAGCCCCTAAAATTTACTTTTGCCTCTAAATTAAATCAACATAAGAACTTGCAATTTTTATAATCAACTTTTTAAAAAATTCATCCAAAGACACTGACAGCAAGTTTTAAGAGGTCTGAGAACATTTATTTCAGTGTTATAGGCATTATGATCCAGATATCAGGACACCAGACTTGTATTTATGACCCTTCCTAAACTCCAATGGGAGCCTTAGGAAAGTACCTTTGCCTCTGTGGGCCCCAGTTGCTTGGCCTGCAAAATGAAGTATTGGATAGACAGGTCACCTCAAGAACCATGCGAATGTAAATTCTCTGATCTATAACTTAAGAGAAATATTCTCTATGATTACAGAATAAGTTGTGCCTGTCATATAGAGATTACCTGTCATATAGAAGCTATAAGAATTTCATGTTAAGTGAAAATACAGAATTGGATCCATTTAATACTTTATTAATATATTACTCTGTAGAAGTACTACATAAGGTAAAAAACAGCAATTGCTTCCTTCTGTGAATATAGCGTCTGATTTTCCTACTATACAGTTTCCCACAGGTGCATCTGTTCTCTAATGGAAGTTGGGGTGACACATACTAAATAATAACCAGCTCAATTATATTGATTTATATATAAATAGTAGCCACCCCAAATTTTTTCTTCCCCCAGAATAATGTAATAACCTGCTGTACATACTTGTGGAAACACTCCATTTCCTCAAAGTACAAAGAACACTTGTAACCACCTATTTAATGTCTTTCTTCTCCACTAGACACGGTATCTTATTCACTGTTGTATTAGCTTTCGATGCATTAACAACCAAACCTAGAATCTTAGAACAACAAATCTATTTCTTCTTCACCATTTTGTGTTGACTACAGCTTGACCCAACTGGGCTAAGCATAACTCTAGGCTGCTTAAGTTTATATCTACGTCACATATTTCTCATTCTGGAACCATGGGTGAAGAAACACTGACTTTATGCAATATAGTTTAATGAAAAACGACAATAATGCAGGGGCGAGGGGTGCCTGGGTGGCTCAATTGGTTTAAGCATCCGACCTTAGCTCAGGTCATGATCTCAAGGTCTGTGAGTTCAAGCCCTGCGTCAGGCTGTGTACTGACAGCTCAGAGCATGGAACCTGATTCCTGTTCTGTGTCTCTGTCTCTCTATGATCCTCCCCTGTCTGTCTCTCATGTTCTGCTCTCTCACATTCTCTCTCTCTCTAAAAATTTAATTAATTAATTAATTAAATATTCAAAACTTTTTAAAAAACAATGATGCAAGAAGAAATAAACTGATGGTCGATTCTTAAGCCTTATTTAAAAATGGTCACACAGTCCCCGAATAGCCAAAGTAATACTGAAAAATAAAACCAAAACGGGAGGGATCACCATCCCAGACTTTAGCCTCTACTACAAAGCTGTCATC